ATATTGAGTCAGTCTCTTGTTCTATGCCATCTAAATAAGCTAGTCAATGTTAAAAGAAACTTCATGAAGAAAATATGAGTGAAACTCATATCATTTAAGAATTTTTTGACCAGTTGTATATTTTTATAAATTTATCGTTTTTACTCATATTCTTTTACGATATGATAGTCTTATGCATGGACTCACTAATAGATTCCATACAATACAAAGAATACGTCTTTGTACATATAATGGAATATAACAACCATCTAGCTGTAGAGGAACAGTTGAGATCATGCAATTTCTAAATAATTATCAAAAAAAAAGGCTATATCGATCTAGTTATTTAAGTATTATTGTTGTATTATTTTGAAGATCTCAAAAGTGTATATCAGAGGTAAAAGTTGAGGTCAAAATATCGTAATTTGATATTTTCTCTATATCATACATTGCTACAAGCTGAAATCTTAGCAAAAAATACCTCCAACTCAGTAGGGAATGACCAGCAATGAAATGTTTTCTCGTAAGTGTATATGTTAATTATTTAAAAACTACTTTGATAATAATTTTTTACTAAAGCAACTTTAGCACCTCTCATTGTTTTAATACTGGAAGCAGAAGCATTTAACTTGATTAAAATGTCGATTGTAAACTAGATAATTTAACATGTTTGAATGTAAAAATCTAGCATATTGATGCAAGAAATAGAACTTTGATATGAACATCGAAATATTCATGGCGTATAAACACAGTGAATTATGTACACGACGAAACTTCATTCTAGAGAAACTGCGTAGCAATATAAGAGTCTTCTTAATTCTTGTTGCACAAACTACATGATATAAAAAACTCATACTTGTTTGAGTCAGTACTGCACGTATTGTGTAATTATGTATGTTATCACATTGTCTGCATTAAAAATAAATTTGTTCATCAAATTTATTTTACGCAAATCTAGGGTATATTGACTTTCTTGCTTGTTGTCAAAATACATATTCAAACAAGAAAATATTTATGAGACAGTCATGACGTTCAATAGATGGCAGTTGTATTACTCGGTCACATACTGTTGATGTTATTCTCATTTCATAAAATAGACGTGTATATACACGAATGTTCACGCATATTTATGTGAGAGTAGTATAGTTTCTGAATTATATCCATGCAACTTTTTTTTTCATGATTTTTCAGGCTGTATATATGGCAATATCATGTATTCTAGGTTTTGTGGATTTTTCAATATAAATCTAAAAGAATCAGTACTCAAATAAGAGCTTTTCGAAAAATTTCCTATACTTTGTTCTCACAACATTAAATCTCGAATTAACAATTGAAAAAAAATGTTGATGAATAAAAAACATCTGAATAAATTCAAAAAATGAATTCTATTTTGTGTGTTAGACATTGTTCAAAAAGATCTATGGCAAAAAAAAAATTGTTGGCGGAAAAGATCACTAAGGGTGAAACTTTGTATCAGTCTACTTTTAAGACTATTAAATTTTGCAGTAATACATAATTTTCTATTATTAAATTTATTCACATGACATTTAATGTCAATAAGCAAACACGATAATAATTTGCATTATTCAACGACGTGCATGTTGCATAAAACATATAAAAAGGACAAATAGACAGATAATAGATCACTTTTATAAGAGTAATATTGTTGATGGTTCCTGATGGCCCTAAACAAGATTAAAAATTTCAAAGTAACCATTGGTGCATCACTTGTTTTCATATGTTTTACTGCAACAACTGTTCTCTTCACTATTGGTTGTATCTTTTATGTAGAAGAAAGTTCCAAAGTGTTGAATTATGTTAATACTACGTGTATAGTTAGTCAGATACATTGGAAATCTTATAGATGTGTACTAATCTTTGTTCCATACACTTGTTATGTAGCAGCATGGTTCATACAGTATAATGAACATAAAGAAATATTTGCAACAATACAAGGAACGAAGCGATACACATATGAATCGGATAGTCTCAGCGAAACAAATATACATCAGGCAAGTAAAATATGAGACAAAAAAAAATTGATTTTAAAGACAAACAATTAAATTTAAAATAATCACTTGAATTATAAGATCTATGGATATTTCGCATAGAAACAAAAAAGATTATGTGTTCTAATAATATAGATCGAATTCTTCAGTAAAATAAAAATAAAATTTTATATTTTGAGATTAAAATTTTTTTGAGAAGTGGACTTATACAATTTCGCGTATAAACTCTTTGATTATTTCAGATTAGTCATTGTCCTATAATTAAAATTAGAACAATTTCATATTCAATTTGTGAATACATAGAATAATATCTTTTGTCTTTTTTTTTTTAATATTTAAGGCTGGTTCACATTATTCCTGTTGGTATGATACTAGAGATTTATCAATAGTTCAATGGAATAAACCAAGTATTCAAGCTGCTATTATTCTACTTATTTGTGGTGGATTATCAACATTATTAACTATTCTGTTTTCGTTTCTTACGTATCTGTTTGTTAAGGAACAAAAACATCAGGATGCACAAAATTATTATACTTACTAAACTAACAATTTTAAAATAAAAGAATTCCCATGACGTGTCTAAAACGAGATATTCGAATTTCAAGGTATTTGAAATTTAGGTATAAAAACAAGAGCACATAAGAATTATTGATATCTCTTGAAATTTATTATTTTTCAGACAATAAGTTTCTAGAATCTTTCTGAGAGATATCAGATATGTTAAACCTAATCTGATTTTTATGTTATCTGAAATGTCAGTAATATTGGACTGAAAAATGACAGCACACATCGTATATCTAAATCGAACCATACATAAGACGTCTTAAAAATAAATGCGTTGATACATCACTTAGCGCTCTATAGGGTTGTTCGCATAATATAGCATCCTTAAATTATGACAACTAGCAGATTTTTCAGATAATTCAATGCTATCAATGATGACATAGGACAGAGGAGTTCGAAAATCGAAAAAAACCTATGATTAATATAGGAATAGGCTTTATGGATTATATCTCCATCATTGACATTAAGATGTCACCATCAAGTAAACTTTTACAAGAAAGAAAACATTCTCCATAAGATTTCGCCGTAAATATTGTATCAAAATTGGTCAAATATCGACTTGAAGAGATATGAATTTAGTGAGCATTGTAGTGTATCTTCTACATTTGGCTCAATTTAAAGTTGGCTCTGCAAATTGTGTGACAAGTTCGAATGAAATGCTTGCTTCACAACAATTATTCAAAATTCTAAAAGATAATAAAAACAGCTATTTTGATTTAATTCTATATTTATCAAAATATTGAATTCGATGATGAATACGATGACATGATGGATGAACGCGGGAGTAACAATGATGATGACGGTTTTGACAAGAATCAATTAATATCTGGCTATTAACAGTAGTATTTCGATAGAAGAAATGGAGAATATAATTGAGTAGATTGATGAAAATACAAATTATGATTTGTGAAGTATTGCACATAGATTTCGAAAAGTTCAATTCAAGAAATACATTCCAGAATCTAGCAAATATATCGAACAAAATAGAACAGCAATTGAAAAAGAAGCAGTTCACGATACTGTCTTAAATTTTTGGCAATCCAAAAAGCAAGAGAAATAGATTGCGATAGTTTTAAAGCCAATATATTATTTGTCCAGTCGTTCAAGACAGAAAATTGAATATCATCAAGAAGACACAACAAACTTATTAATCGAGCTACATCAAACAGAAAAGTTTTCTAGCTTGAATGATATTTAAATCTATTCGAGATTTAAATACATTTATATTCTAGGTACTTGAAATTGGGTAGAAAGCAAAAGATTTTTAATTTCAAATTATTCGTCTCATAAAACTTTAAATAGTGATCATTGTTCATTTCAACAAGAATACGTTTTTCTAAGAACGCTTTCTTTTACTGCTGAAAGAACAATAGAGATGACTGCTAAGAGAAATACCTTATTGTCCTTGATTCTTGGAGAACTTTATGGTCTCATTGGAAATAATATGTTTTTTTCTCATTTCTTCGAAAATTTTAAAACATTTCCACGTTTCGTCATTGATATTGTAACCATTCATTAGAGCAACATACGTAATAATACCTCTATTTCTTACTACTTTAACAACATGTTCAGCACTTTCAGCTTCACCAAATTTCATTAACATATGTGCTGCTGAAGTTAATACGACAGTATCATTTCTGAAATCATTAGGCATTTTATCAAGAAGTTTTCTTCCAATCCTCATTGCTCGATCGTTGGCAACTCGAGCACATGCATTAAATAAAAGTGTGAGAGTAAAATTATTAGGTTCAATTGTCATTTCATTTAATAAATCGAGCACTTTTTCTGGCATGTTATTAGAGATTAAACCTAACGATAACAAAGATTTAATACGCCAAAAATCATAAAAAATATTGACCTTTGAACATAGCTGTGTAGATATAATTGAATTTGTTTGTTATTGTGGAGAGTAGACGAGATGCATTGCCCATATCATGACATTGTGATAAGCATAAAAAAAGAAGATGATCAATATCGGTAAATAGTCAGTATTATTCAACATGGTACTAAGTGATGGACTTTTTGTTGAATATTGAGAGTAAATAAATAGGAGGCGTTTTATTTACTGATTTTTATAGTGATTTTTTGTGTTTGTCTCATGAAGTGAAATCAATTTTTGAAAAATCTAGTTTAAGACCTTAATAACTGTTCCAATACTTTTATTGATTCATCCTTAATGTTTTTATAAAAAAATATTAAAGAATATTATCTATGTGTGGAAGAAAAACTGGTGAATTTATTGGAGTAGTTTGAGACATCGAAGAATTTTTGTCGATGTATAAATAAAATCTATAATTATGAAAATTTTATTTTTATGCAGACAAGAGAAAAAATAAAAAAGAATTTTATCGCGAAAAACAAACATGGCCTCATTCATCAAAGTATTCATAGATTTATATTATTCTATAATCATATTCTAACTGAGAGAATCAATGACTCAGTATAGAATCAAATTAATGATGCTTGAACATAAGAATTTTTAAGTGAATTTGATGGAAGTTTTTGTTGAATATTCAAACCACGATTATAATCATTTATTATACTACAAGTATTTATTGCAATACTGATAGTATAATCTATACATAATTCAAATTTTGAATCGACAATATCGAGAACTTCTTTATATTGTTTTGCATCAATAAGTTCTTTAATTTTTGAGTTCGATTCCATTGATAATGACATAGTATAGTTTTCGTTGTTTTTTTTTCATGCATTGATAGTAATCTTTGAAATCGACATATTAAAAAATAATTATTTTTTTATTAATAGCATGTTTTTATCTAGAATAATAAAAGTAATATGGAAATACCTCCTTTTTAAAAAAAAGTAATTGTAAAAAATCTATTATCCTGCAGTTGATCATCGAAAACGAAGGTTACTGAAGTTATAACTTAAACAAAATTTATTGTTGAAGTTATTCTATATTAACTAAGAAATAAAAAATTGATCTATTGACAATGATATTATGAAAATATATCATCCAAATTAAAGTTAAAATAGAATAAATATTTTTTTTTTGTTATATTTCAAACTAATATGAAAATAAACAAAAACCGAAAAATTAGAGATGCATTTGTTTGCATAAAAATGTATTGTATGGTATTTTTAGTTTTATATGACGACTAATTCAACAATAAACTAATTAATCTATGCCATTACTATATCAAATTTCAACACAAATGATTCAATGTTGTTCTTCAAGTTCATGTTTTGGTGATGTTTATTGATGTAAACTTTCACAATTAGAACAGTTTTTTATTTTACTGTTGATATAAAAATATTCTATGACAATGAGAAAATGATCTGATAAATTATTTTTAAATCTAAAAATTTCATTATCCAAACAATCTTTCTCCCTATTTGAAAATACGAGAAATTATTGTTGAAATTGTGTATATCTATTTTAAGATATCTACTCATAAATAATTTAGAAATCACATTTACTTAAGAAACTTTTATTTTCAAATAAATTTACGATTTTTTTTAATATAGAAAATGCAACAGGAAAAGTTCTCATTTTTCGAACAATAATAAAAATATCGATAAATAAAGATGTCTTATAGATCATCACAAACTTGAAAGGAAACAGAATTCATTTTATATCGATTCAATTCTTTTTTTTTGTACAAACTATTAAAATGAACTACTTGATTATTATTTAATAATCTTCTTATATTAGATACATAAATTTACTTTTTATTTTTTGATCTATTTTTTCATTTTCATATTATTTTGAAAAAAACATTTTTTTTTATTGTTACTTTAATTTGAATAATATATTTTCATAATATCATTGTCAGTAAAATTATTTTTCTTAGTTTATTTAATATAAAATAATTTTGGCATGACATGCTTGAGATGAATCTACATCTAGCACATAGATTTTCAGCAAAATATCCATTGAATTTTCTATGAAATAGTATCTCATTCAAAAAAAGAAAAATATACTATTTCTATTTTTGTCTTTCTAATTTCATATTTAACAATTTCTACTTACCTATATTTTAAATAATGACGATGGATGATTTATTTTAATAATAATTTTTATTTGATATTAATATTTTTGTTTATGACTGTTTTTTTTTTACAAGGAAAAATTTTAAAAATTAAATTAGTTATAATATTTGAATAAAAAAATTGATATCTATATACAAATAAAATAGAAATACAAAAATTTTTATTTGAATTGTCTATTAAAATTTTCTGGTGAGAAAATGTCTTTCAAGTAATTAATTGCTTTTAAATTCAAGCTCTATGTATAAGATAGACTTCAATGAAATATGAAGAATCTCTAAAGAATAAGTTACCTTAGAATATCTGTTTAGAATTATAAGCATTTTACTAAAATTTTAGCTTCTGTCTTGGTATATACTAACAAATCGAATGGTAGAGTAGGTTGGGTTAAAAGTAGAAGAAAAATCGAACATTTTTATCTCTTTTTTATTTTTCAATATTTAAAAAAGCTTTCTTCAAACTATGTAGAGAAATTTCTCCTTTATCTATCTATGAAATTAGTTTCCAAAAATCTTGCAGTATAACGTAGTGGTATTGGATTTTCCGAGACCTCCATCAACATTATACATTTACCCTACTTGGGGTAAATGTATAATCTCAGCTATTTTTGGCTTGATTAATAAAACCACATTTATAAATGATTTGTTTGTTTGTTTAAGAAAATTTTTTCATGAATGGATAGGCTAAGATTTTCTATCATATTAGACTATTTGGAATCGGGTATGGGTAGGTGTAGCTGTAAGATGAATGTGATTGAGAAAAGAAGAATACTCACGCCAACACCTACACCTACACATCCTCAAGAATTAAAATAAATACACAGAAATGTCCAGAATTTCATGGTCTATCTTTCTAGCCTATTGAAAGTCAAACATGGGGGTGGATGGTACCATATTTCCTATCTTCTCTAGTAGGGTCCTTTAATTTCTCGTCAACCCATGATATTTAGAGTAATCTGAAACGAGTTAAGATGTTTCAATGTGAACTATATAGTTACATTGCATTGAGTTCAATGAATAATGACTATTTCTATTAAGATAGTGTGCGCAGGATACTAGGAAAGGAATAGCATTATTCGAACAAGTTACTTCATTTTGATGCTTTTCCTAGGATTATAAAAGTCAAGTGTATGTGCATATATTATATCCGACCGATCAGCCATTCTGTATATGTCTAAATCAGATAAATATTATCACAGACTTTTCCTTCAACATTACATGTTTAGTTTCTGACTTCACAAACAAAATCCTAAATATGCTATATAAGCCAATTTTATTGACGAATTATCTTTTGAAGCTGAATATGTAGTGAGTAAAATAAGACTAAAGCTGAACAAAAGCATAATATTATTTTTTTTTTTGAATAATTGTTTACATTTAAAGCTTTAAAGTTCATCAGCATCAAAATTAGCCAATGGAGCATTATTTTCCTTCTTGATACATTCCATTTTCATCTGTTCATCATCATTCTCTGATGTTTTTCGATTATTAATTCCAGCAGTTTTTCGAAATGTTGACCACATAAATTCCATCATTTCATTTCGATAATGTGTTGCAATTAATTCTCGTTTAACACGTGCAAATGCATCATTCAAACTAGAAAAACAAAAACAAACAAAAAAAGGAAATCTCAGCTAGAAAAGTAATTTAATCATTATACTATACTTACATCGCTATAAAGATGCATAATAAAGCAATAAATACAAGATTAACAAATGACAGATAATAAAGTGTACCTAAAAAGAAAAAATAAATCAAGATTTTATTTTTTTTTGTTTCCTAATTCTTCTTGATTAAAATATGAATTTACCATAGACTCGACTAACAGCAATCATGTTTGGAGCATTGATTTCACCCAAAAGCATTCGAAAACAAGTTGTTAATGAAGTAAAAAAACTTTTATAATCACGAAGTGAACGACCAAATATAACAAAACCGACTTGTGCATAAGCTAGAATAAATATAAGAAAAACAAATCCAAATGAACTTAAATCTTTTCGAGCATAACGTAATGATTTTGATAACATTTCAATACGTCTATTAAATCGAAGTAATTTTAAAAATTTAAGCATTGTAAAAAATGTTATTAATGCAACAATATATGAATAAACTTCATCAAAACTTGCAATGGCATTAAAATTAACAAATTCACCTATTTAAATAAAGAAAAATAAAAAAACGAGATTCTATAATTTTTTTTTTCATTGACTTTACCCATTTCTGTTTTTTTCAATGATCGAATAGCTAATCGTGTTAATGCCTTTTTAGTTCCATACATTATAATTGTTGTTATACTAAATACAATTGTTATAAATGAAATTATATTCCAAAATTTTCTAAAATATTCTCTTTTTTGTTTAATAATTAATAAAGTTTCATGTATAGTAGAATAAATTGTAAACATAACAAATAAAAGTTCAAATATATACACAATTATACCATAACTACCAATATGATCATATAAACGAAAGATTTTAATACGATAATCTTGTATAACTGAACCCATTGATGTCATTTCAAATGAAAGTGTAACAGCAATAAATAAATTAACATTTGCATTATAAAATGAAAAATCAATAATAACTGCACGAGTTAATTGATCAAGCCAATTTTGTAAATGAAGTTCATTCAATACTGACATAGCTTGTTGATATGTACGACCTAATGAAACAACATAACCACCACCTTTATATGTTTTATAAATAGCTGAAAGTGGATCATTCTTTGTACGAAAACTATTCTGAAAGCAAACAAAAAAATTATTTTGTTTTTATTATTATGTAAGTTAAAAAAAAGAAAAAAGAACATCAAACTAACTTGATAACACCATGGTGTTTTACATCGTTTTGTTTGATTATTGATTTCATCATTTATTTTCATTGTAGTTTTATTTAAAAGTTTTTCCCATCGTGATGTATAATCTTTTGTATCATCATCAAACCAATTATAATCATTTCGACAATGTGATATCATATGTTTAAAACGACGATGAATTCGACAACTATTATCTTTAATACGTAATTGACGAATTCTTGGTGCACCAACACGTATTGATGTTCGACTTGCAATTGTTAATTTTTCTCTCCAAGTTAAATTTTTATTATTATACCATGCTTGTGCATAAAGTCCTTTTAATAAAATATTATCACAATAATTCCACCATGTTTGAATTGAATTGACATCATGAAAATCTTCTGTAATAAATAAACTTTTTACATCCCGATATAAACCATATGAATTTGTATCTCGTGATTGATACGATAGAAATAATAAGACAATAGTAAAAAATATAAAAAAAATAATTTCACGAATGATTTTTCCCATTTTAATTTCACGTAAACGTTGTTCTCGTGCATGTGCCATTTCATTTGAATTAATTGTACGTAAATTATATAAACGTACACGACGTTGAAGTGCAATTTCTAAATATAACAACAACAATAACAACAATGAGAAAAAAAAATTCTTATTCTATATTAATGCTTCAATATTTCAAAAAATTTTACTTTTCAAATATGTTTCATCATAAGTTTCTTGTTTGTCATCCATATCAGATGTATTATTATTTGTAAGTAATGCTCCTGTAAATGGATCATTAAAATCTAGTGTTTCATCATCATATGGTCGACGAATAAGAAAACTTATAATAGCTGTAATAAGAAATACTTT